TTAATCCCTGTCTTCTTGGATTAGGATTATATACATGCATATATGTCTAGGTACATAGCTAAATAGATTAAGATTAATGAGAAGAGACCATAACATCACTTCTTTAGGACACACACACACATACACACACACTAGGACACGGACCCATGGAGCTAGCAAAATACTGGAGGAGATATTGAAATGTTTGTATCTGGTATAGTCAGCTCTCTGAGTCTGTGGCCTCTTAACCCCACATCAGATTTCAGAACTACCAGTGGAGAAATTTGCCTTCTCACTTGCAGATCTGCAAGGACAAATGACTCGTACTTGTCAGAGAGTGTGGGACTTGGGACATAGTAGAGCATAGTTTATAATTACAAAGCTTTGAGAGTTAAAAAAATGTTCTGCTTTCTTATAAATATACTAAAAAAATATACAGGGTGCTTTGGGTTGTTGTTGCTTGTAAGAGAGGAAAATACTCAAGAACTCATACATAAAAGCGCTGGTCTGCTTTTTAAAAAAATCTTTATCATATGTAGATTTGGTGGCTTTTGTAAATACGAATAACAGATGCATAATAAGATAAGGTAAGGGGTAGAGCCAAAGAGTTATTATCACCTGGATGCAGTGGTGCATGCCTATAATCATAGCTACTTATAAGGCTGAGGCAGGAGGATCCCACATTCAAGGCTAGCCAGGGCAACTTCTTGAGGTACTGCCTCAAAAAATAAAAAAGGTATGAGGGTACAGCTGAGTGACAGAGCGTCCCTGATTTGAGCTGGATCTGCAGCACTGCTCCCCAAATTTTATTTTCCTTAACAGATGAGCATGATAAAAATTATATAAAAAGAAACCTTGCTTTGCTTGTTTTCTTTAAAATGAGTGCAGAATTCATTCTCTTACAGAGAGAAACTCGAGTCTTCAATATCCACAAATTTTAACATCTCCAAACTTTTGGCCTGTGCCTCATAGACCTGCCTGCAACACACTGGACCTTGAAAAGAGAGGCCTACAGAAGATGAGAAGAAAGGTCGCCCTCTGAGACAACAGGAAAGACTTAGCTGGGCCAGGGCTGCGTACGTAAGAGTCGCTGAAACCCGGGTTCACATCCTGAGCAAGGTTGCTGTGCTCTCATGATTTTGCTCTGCACGCAGTGCGGGCTCTGCTTCTGATACGGCGGTATGGGTGGGGGCACCTAAGTGACGCAGGCTGGAGAAGGGGACCGACACCCTGGCGCTGCGAAGGGATTAAGAGGTATTTCTGATATCTGCAGAGAACACAAGCATCGGGAGCCCAAGTATGGAATGGAACGGAGGCCTAGAAAGACGGGATGGAGTGGGTGGTTGTTCTTTCGTTTTCTTTTACTTTTTTTTTTTTTTTGGTCATCCATTGACTTTAATTAAGCCCAGCCAGTCTCATAGCATGGGAAAGTTGGAGAACTTTTTTGTTTAAAGTGACCTTGTTCCCAGGGTTTGCCCTACAACTTCACTCAGCTCTGTTGCAAGGATGAATATTCACATTCCTGCTCTGAATCTTAGAACGAGGCACCTGGCAGAAAAAGACAATTTTAATCTCATCTGAAGTACTATGTACTTAAGTACTATGTTTTAAGGAAAATGTAACCTTTTTTTAAGGAAAAGAAACCTTTCTGTAATCCTGCTGGTTATACTTCTTAACTGTATTATTCTAAGTCAATTAATTCAAATTTTAAAATAATGAAATTACTAGCAAAGACTCTAAACTTCTTTTAGTATATTAAATTGGGCAGATTGCTTCTCTACTTCTAATTATGAATGTTGCAGTTACAAAAGAAACTGTCATTTTGATAGAGCAAAAGACAATCTGTCTGCCAAAAATGTCCAACCATAATTCTAAAAAAAAGTCATAGGCATCAAGAACATGCTACTTTGTTTGATGTACTGTCTTATTGGAAACCTAATTTGCTTTCAACCTCTCAGGCAACACATAACATAAGTTAGTGTGACTAATTTTTCTTGGAAATATGAGTAATTAGAATTAGGGGCCATTTTCATAGCAGGAGTGGACAGTTTTTTTAAAAAAAAAATTCAATGTAAGTGCTATAGTTATTTTCTTTGCTTTTTTATAGCACTTCTAAAATCAAGAACGAGGGGGAAGCTGAGCTTCATACTGGATAATGTGAGTCCCCATGTAAACTGTGAGCGATCGCAAAGTACAGAAAGGTTTATTACCTAAGGTGAGCCCTCCCAGAGCTCCTGGAGTATAAAAGCATTAAGCTTATGTTCTAACAAAGTCATAAAAATCAATAAACAGGAACCCCCCACCTGTGCAATGGCCCCAGTGTTAAGTTTTATACATGTAGTAATAGTGCATATCCATTTTCACCACCCTTCCTACGCTAGCTATTACAGGGCCTACCACCACCGGAGGGACCGCAAGAGCTGCACCATTCATCCATCCCACAGAGTTGTCTACATGCCAGGCCTATTGCATCATTGTCAGTTTTATTCTATCTGCAAATGGACAAGGCTGCAGCCCTAGCTTCTATACACCCACTCAGTACCGCAACAATTGCAAACTGTGTGCTTCTGTTTAAAGAGTTTACAAGTCCTTCTGAAAGAAAAACAGAACTGTTGCATATTAATGCCCCCAGACTCCGGACGATAACACAATGGGAAGGGGAAAGCCATGTTGCTTCCACCGATATGTGACCTTGTCGGACTACAGCAGTCTGTGGCTTATCTACCAAGGTTTAGAAAATAATAACACATTCTCAAGAAGCATCTGGATGACCAGGTTTCTACAGTAACTAGTTCTAATCTGTGTGCTCCCTAAAAGCCAAGAGATTCAGAAAGCACAGGTCACCGTCTTACTACACAGATGGTAACATATGCTAAAAATTAGGCTCTAAATATGCAATATTTGTACCAGGTTACAGCAATAACTACTAACATCACACTTATTTCATAATTAAAGGAAATCCTCCCACCCCACCTCCCCATTTTTACCCACAAGGCAGAAAATACCACTGAATTCGTAACCTCTGCACCACATCCACTCCTTGCCACCCTTGACCCTGCACGGGGTGAGGGGCGGCTGGGCTTGTGAAGTCCTAGCCACTTGTTGGTGAAAAGGCTCAATAACTTTGGGGGAAATACTTCACTGGGGACATCCTGAAAAAAACAAAAAGCAAGAAAGGGAAACAAAAAGCTTCATTTTAATTATAGTCCAAAGATAACTGCTCCGTGGTAATGAGGAACGTTTGAGAGGAGGGCCTGCATTCAGACACAGGACTGGGGTGAATTCTTCCTTTCTTTTAATGGTTCTACTGGTTATAGTTTTAATAGGCCCGAAAAACAAAAGAGGCCCCTTGGTGATGACTCCTCTCCCTCCTCCCCAGCAAAAAACAAAACAAAACAAAAAACCCAGGAGTTTTATCTGTCTGAGGTCTCCTTTGATAGAGCTCACAGCACGGAAGTGCCACTCACGGGTACTTAACGCTGCATCATTTAGAAGCATAAAAATAGAATAAAGTTGTGCAGCAAATGAGAAATTATGATATAACTCAAGTGCTATGGCATGAAACAGGCAAAATGAACTATCTCTGCATTTTTCAGAACCAAAAAAAATAATAATAATAATAAAGGGAGTGGAAAGTGCAACTCCAGCGTGATTCCCAGGAAGGTATGCGTGAAGTCTTAAAAACTTCAATGGCATCTACAAGAATAGTTACTATGGATATGATGAGAAAATTAGATGTTTCTACCACTGCAAAGAAAGTGAAGTGCTGCAGTTGTGAACAGCTGGCATACAATAGGTAATTTAAGGGAAAGTGACCCTCATGTATAATTTTTAACTGAAGAACTGTCAGGCCCCATTAGCTCCAATAGGGCCTGCCAGGACCGAGATCGGTTTATAGGAGTATTGTATTAGCATAGTTTCTGAAAGACCAGCATGAAAACATAATGTGGGGATTCGGTAAATTTAGTGTTTTTAAAATTTGCGCACATTATTTGTTATACTGACATCAATGTGCTGCCTATGTGTTCAGAATGAAAAGCCCAATAGGGTAGCAACTGCCATGGTAAACAATTTGTGAAAAAGCCCTTCTGAGCAGTTGCAGCTATGTGTAGAAGTAACTCCCAAAATTTACAAGGGAAAGGCAAATGGTGGCTACCATACTGATTATTCACCGTGACACTGAGTGTTTCTAACCGAAAGGCCTCAGAAGGAAATGGGGGAGCAGCAGAGAGACTGCATACAGCCATTCCACTACAGTTCATGTTAGAAAGTGTGGAGATTCTAGTCTAGGAGGGCTGTAATGAGAGCTAATTGGGAAGGCAACCTCTGCTTCAAAAATAGTAGTCGAAGTAAATCTTAGAGAGAGAAAGAGGTCACCTCTTTTCCTTCAAGTTAGTCATTTAACTAAGCAATACGTAGACTTTCTTGGAACCAGCGTTATCTTACTTGAACACATGGTAGAATGACAAGGACATGCTGGTGACATGCTATGGCTTCAAGTAGCACGGTCTTTACTGAAGCCATGGATTCAGGGTAAAGGAATGAATGAACACTCAGGGAAAACTTTCTGGAGAAAAGGGTAATGAAGCTGTTGTCTATACAACATACTCACTTAGCTTTATAAATGGTGGCTGTGTTTAGCAACTGGTGGCAGGCACTGTCCCCAATTCTATTGTGTGATACTGCACAGTTTGAAATCATGTTTGCCTTACCTTTTTATCCTTAGGGAGAACTGCTTGATATTGTCACATTGGTATTCTTTGGTGTAAATGTTTTGAGGAAATTTCAGGCACTTATATTCCAAATTAATGGGATTCTTGGCATCCTTTCTCCCTTTTAATGCTGCACTGATGTGGAATTAATCTCTATGTAGGTGGTTTGTCTTTGCTAAAATATTAAATAATCAAGTCAACATTTTATATATTTAAATCTGCCATTTTGTTATTTAGAGAAGCAACTATTCAATTCCATAATTATAGTCACTTAAATGAAAGTCTACTAATTAGATAACATAGCTGAGCTTTACAGGTATTATAGAATATTCTTTACTAGACACTATATTACAAGCAATCATTAGCTCAGCTATAAAGGAGTTTAAATTCTAATGTACTTTTTAATTTGTTTTGTAACCTAAATAAGCAATCGATGTACATTAAATAAGCACAATTGTGTTTTTGGTATTTGTCCGTTCATTTGGTCCACCTTGACAGCTTCTGTAAGCATGTCAGCAAAACTCAGTAGCCACAATACACAAGTAGAAATCACCTGTGCTATCTTCGCACATAGATCTTCCATATTACATTATCTTGACACTGAGAATAAAATCTCTGTAGTTGCCATATCTCCCTTGCAGATATTTTAGATAAAGACTTGGACAGATATTTCCAATTCTAACACCACTTGCAAGTGGTCATAAAACAAGCCTTAATGAGGTGTTAGATGTGTTTACCTTTGATTAGGTGAGCTGCTCGATAAGATGAAAAGGAGAAGCAACTTCCAAGTGTAAATATGTACAGGAATCTCCGGTCAGGTCACTATCATTCATTTGGAATTCTGGGGAGGGAACCTGAATGCTGGAGCAACGTTCATTTGCCTAGCTCACTTTTCCACTGCTCATACGGCTTGTCCAATGGGAAGAGGAACAAGTAGATAACAATCTTACACCATGTGTGGATCTCAAGAGTTCTTAGAAAGCCCATTTCTGGATTCTAAAACACAAATGTGACTATACAATTCAACCATAGCTCTTTCCATGTTGTTTTCTCAATAAACTGAGAGGACTGAGATTTTGTTTCCTGCATCTTCGTATCGTCCAATGCTAGCACTTTATATGAGTTGTGGTTGACAGTAACTATTTTGAACGCATGCATTTTCACTCTTTTTGTTTTTATGAAGACACTGGAGCAATGCTGTTCTGGAATTCTAGAGATCTTTATGTGATAGGAGCCTTGTGTCTAGTCTTATGTATACAAACTTTTATTTCTTACTACCTTTTGCCAAGTAGGGCTATAAACACTTTCTCCAAGCACTGCACAGAAACCTCTCTTCACTCATTTCAATGACCTTCCTGCAGGGTGACTTTGGCATATTCTCTGCAAAGGTATGATCATTGGCTTTCACATGAGGAGACTCATATCATTTGGTCCTTGACAACTTCCATAGCTGTTACACTTAGCCTAGCAAGCAAATATATAAAGGTTAAAATTGGAAGAAAAAAAAGGCCTCTTATCATCCGACTTGCATGTGTTCTAAAAGAAAGGAAATATGAATAAAAGGTAACTTATTCAGTGTCACTCGTACATATTTATAGTTTAAAAATTAGTCAAAGTTTATGTCCTGAGGTTGCACCTACAGGAAGCCAGATGTGCCTTCTGCACGTGACCTAAGACAGGCCTAGAGCAAGAACTAGATAATTTCTCGCTCATCCTC